ATGAACTATTTTCATTTTATATTCTTAGTTTTTTCGGTAAAGTCACGTTGAAGAGAAACAACAAAATAACAAAATATATATAAAACAGTAAAAAATTCTCACGACGTTTCGACCATGATGATGACCGTTTGAGTTATGGTCGAAACGTCGTGAGAATTTTTTATTGTTTTATATATATTTTGTTATTTTGTTGTTTCTCTTCAACGTGACTTTACCGAAAAAACTAAGAATATGAATTACTGCAGTCACGAAAGCTTTAAATCAAAATTTATTTTCATTTTGATAATTTATTTTTTACCTTTTTATCTGGCAACAAAAATGACACCTTTTTTACAAGGAGTCATGTTTGCGTTGACCACAATACCTGCGGTCGGAATGCAAACAAAAAAAACATAACTCATCTGGTCAATCCAAAAAGGCGTCATCTGGTCCAACACCATGCGAGACGAGGCTCTAAGGAAAGCTATCTCGGGTGTGGACCAATCAATTTCAAGGACAGTGCATACATTATCAGAGTTATGTTTTTTGTTTGCATTCCGACCGCAGGTATTGTGGTCAATGCAAACACGACTCCTTGTAAAAAAAAGGTGTAATTTTTGTTGCCAGAAAAAAGGGTAAAAATTCAATTATCATATTTTGCTACTGGCAAAGGAGGTTTCAATGGTATTTTCATTTTATCAGGTAAAGCGTACTCGGCTATATTGCTCCTTTTCAGAAGAGAGCTGGCCACAAATGACAGCTCAAAAAAGTGTCTCATCATTTGGACTTTTATAACAGCAAAATAATCGACATCATCTCAATGCATGTTTCTAAATGTGGAGGGAAAAAAATACCCGGAGGATCCGGAGAAAAAAATCCACGTGACCACGGTTAGAGAGGGCACGCAAACTCCACATTTACAGGCTAACCTTGGCAGGACCCTCCTGAAAAAGGTGTCTTGAGACTCGACGATGAGCTTCCTGGATAAACGAGCATCATGAAAAGAGAATGTGTACCCTCTTTGTCTCCAGGTCTCTCTAGTTTTATCTCACTTCAATCCCACTCATCTCTGCCTCTTGTCTTCGTCTATTATTTGACTTCTTTCACATCACTCATCTGTATACTCTGTTCAGCCGGGCAAAAAAGCTTAGCGGTACGCTCCAAACGCTATCGCGGGTCATATATCGACGCGTGCGTTTAGATGCAATTACCAGCGAAACGTCGTACTCAAGTTGCAAATGCGGATTTGCTCTCCAACACACCGGTGTGCTGTATTCGCAACGACCTTGCATGGTCTATTTACGTGACAAACCTTACTAATTGGCTGTGTCGGGTGGTGGCGGGTTGAACGACACAACATTTTTATTTACGCGATCTAACCCAATTTTTTTTAAAAAGTATTATAACCCTGCTTTCACGCACTTTTTGTGGCACAAAGAATAACCAAAGACAATTTAAATGACTACAAGTGTATTTGTTACTACAGATGCATTTCATCCGGCAACTAAACTGTTGTTTAACCCCCCCCCCCCCCCACCTAAAAAAAAACGAGATAAAAACACATCACATACTTGAGCCAGTCATCGTGTCACACGCGTTGAAAAATGTATGTAAAGCCGCGGCGACATAACCACAGGAACGAATGCAAGTGGATCTTTTTTACCCAGGTAGCATAAAGGTCGTGTGTGTCTGTGAGTAGACACACACACACGCTTGTGTGTGTGTCTGTGAGTAGACACACACACAAGCGCGTGTGTGTGTGTCTGTCTGTGAAACAGCACCTGCCCTAACAGTCCGTTCAGTCTATGCGGGGGATCTTTGTTTGTGTCTGTGAGTAGACACACAGACACATACACACACTTACCTGCGCGCGCGTGTGTGTGTCTGTAAGTCGTGGGGAGCGATAGGGCAGCAGTTAGTTCGATTCCCGCTCACGGCCAACACCAGTAGCGATTACCTGAACCGGTCATGGGCCTCCCCTAAGTCGACTCAGCCTCAAATGTGGACCTGGTACGATGTGGAAAAACATCGCCACTGGGGAGACAAAGGCGGCCGCTCGTGGTGTTGAGCAAAAAAGTCTGTTATGGCTACACAGGGGATCTTTGTCTTGTCTACACACACACACACGCAGACACGTGTGTGTGTGTGTGGACACACACACACACACGTGTGTGTATGTATGTAGACACGTGTGTGTATGTAGATACGTGTGTGTATGTAGACACGTGTGCGTATGTAGACACGTGTGTGTGTGTATGTAGACACGTGTGTGTATGTAGACACGTGTGTGTATGTAGACACGTGTGTGTATGTAGACACGTGTGTGTATGTAGACACGTGTGTGTATGTAGACACGTGTGTGTATGTAGACACGTGTGTGTATGTAGACACGTGTGTGTATGTAGACACGTGTGTGTATGTAGACACGTGTGTGTCCGCACGCGCGCGTTCAGCTCTTGGCAATAGGCGTGACCAGAAGCGGAAAAAAAAACCCTCGCAGTTTCACGGCTTGGGGGAGGCTTCTCGTTCTGCCGTCACAACTTGCCAGCGAAACACATGCACGCTTCGAGGACGCTTCGCCCCATTGTGAATTCCGCAGTCACCTGACATGCAGCATTTGAGGTGGTCTTTAAAAAAAAAGAATTTAAAGCCACATATTTGGTGACAAGCGTTAGTCAACTTTGCTGACGCTCCCAAAACCCGCATGACAATTGGCGCGCAGCACGTGGCGTGGCTTGGAGAGTCGAGTCTTGTTTGTTCGCGAAGCGGGAGGACTTTAATCCCCGGCGTTCTGGCCGTATACGGAGGACATTCCGCGAACCTTCTCGACAATTACGCGCGCTCACTGTGCCTTTATTGTTCATTGTTTTGTTTGTGCCAGTGCGTCCCGGGCGCGCAAAGACCGCCGACACCCCAGCTGGGATTATATTTAATGTAATTGCATTGTAGACATTTCTGCGGGGCGCTTCGTCCCACTGCACGCAAGCTCGCCCCGGGGGTGAGGGCCTTTCGCTGTGGGTCGCCACTAAAAAAAAGGGTCTGACGGAACAAAAAAAATCCCCGTGGATTGGGCATGCCAGTGGTTACAATGCGTTGAGATTTTTTTCCCCTTCTCAGTTCTTTGAAAGGCAACCTCGTTCATTCGACAGGCGACCAAGAGTAACATTTTGACGAACATCTGTCCCTCATCAAGCACCTGCTCAAAATAAGAACACCGTCATTAATGACATACACCTGACTGTATTGTTGAGAGGGTAATTTGAATATCCATGAGAAAGTTCTGGCAAAGGATGTTTATCCGTGAATGTAAATTGATGGAGAAACTGTGAGCCAGTCACCCGTGGTGCTCAGAACATTTTTTTATTTCTTCCCGGAAGAAAAAAATATGGTTCCACTCTGGGCCCAGACTGGAGGATCCTAAACACCAATTGTGATAAAACATTTACCAATTGCCCGACGTGTTCCACAATCACAGCTTGAGTAGAAAACAAAAGTGTGGCAAGGTCAATCTGGTCCTTCTCTGGCATGGCAGGGTGGGTGATTGGCAAGGCAGACCAACGGGGATGGCACAAGGACTCGAGTCTATTATTCACCGCTCCAGACAGATGTCTTGTCTGTATATTGAACTTCTATTAGCACCGTGCGTAGCCAACCGTGCTAATCGGGAGGTGTGTGAAAGCATGCCCAATCTGTAAGCTTCAGGCCACGGCACTTAGTTTTTATTGGTAAGAGACTTAGATAAGGATCACGTTTGCCTTGGTTATTCCTGTAATTTAACAATGTTTTACGCACTATTTCTGAACGTTAACCAAGCCCAGTTATGACTCTAGGCCAATTCCATGCAGTCACAAAAAAAGCCGCTCACCATTCATGAAGCATAAGAATATATTTATTTACGTCAAACCTTCCATCATACAAACAACATTCACTCAACACACCAACCTCGGATCAAGCCCCAGTACTCTTTTCTCCAGTTATGTAAAAATGAACAAAGTTGTGCATAAATTAATCAAATCGGTACGTTAAAATCAACAGCGGTCACTTTAGTCCACAGCGCCACCTGCTGTAGTGTGCTTGGGATGTGCTCACTAAACTTAAAAAAAACCTGCTATAAAGTATGTGGAATAATATCTGACAGGCGAAGGTCAAGAATAACGATGGGAGTGGCAGCCAAGGAATAGAACGCGTCCGAGAGGACGTCCACAACAAAGCGGAGATAATAAATCAGCTCGTGTGCAGGTTCTAGATGATTACATCGAAGGATTGGGAGATGGGGGCAGTTTGACACGTCGGCTTTCGCAACAAATATTATTCATGAAATGTTTTTGGGTTAGATCGCATGTTGTTAACCCGCCACACCCGGACACAGCCAACCAGTAAAGTTTGTCACCTAAATTACATCCAGCATCATCGGGCGATTTTGGAAAATTGTATTTTGGAAAAATCACCCAATGATGTTGGATGTAATTACTAGCGAAACGTCGTACTCAAACTGTAAATATTGTGGATTTACTCTCCAACACGCCAGTGACCTGAAGTAGTAACTAATTGGCACGTTTGGTTTACGTGACAAACCTTACTGGTTGGCTGTGCGGGTGGTGGCGTGTTAGCGGCACATTTATACTGACGCGATCTAACACAACCTTTATTATGAGATGGTGGCAGCTTGGTGAAGCCTTCATCCAGCAGCGGAATAGCCATGGCTGATGATGGATAATAAACTAATATATGCTGAGCAACAGCATAACACAACGTGCAGAACGCATATTTGAGTGGGAAGAGAATGCCAAAGGTGTGCTTGTGAGAAGCTGCCAATGGAGCTCACAATACAGAACGATTGTTCAAAAGCCAAACGTTTTTTTAGCCACATTTGCATGTGACCATTCAGGTCAACAGCCTTTCTTTCACCCGGTGAGCACCCATTGAAGACAATACGTCTCCTTTTGCAAAGAAAACTTGGGAAATAGGTGTGACATGAAATAAATGCAGGCGACAAAGAACGACTCTGGGAAACACCGATGGATCCCTTGACAATATACTTTGCACAATTTCATTGGTTATAAAGGCAACACGTTAACATTGATTTTATACATGTGCATCAGTAATACTTTAAAAAAAATATGTACTGCAGTCAAGCCTCGCGCTGAAAGCTGTTCCTGTCCATTATTTGTTTTGAATTGTTTTCTTAAAATTATTGCCTAAAACTATTGGCGTCATGTAATGAGTCATTGAGAAATGTTCATTTGACAGCACCATCATATCACAAACCAATGTAACACGATCGTTATTCTGCGTGCAACATCATGTTATCCGTATTAAGCGGTGCACCATATTTTATCCGCCGTATGTGGTCATACGGCGAATAAAACTAAAATGTTTATCAGTGCCGGATTACGTCAAATTACACGACAAAAGCAATTTAACACGATCGTTATTCTGCGTGCAGTCATTGGTGCCTGGGCTGAGACAAACTCGCTGAAACCCAAGAACAAACGGCCGCTTGGATTCTAACTCAACACTCTGAACGGTTCTTGCTCGGAGTGCATCCGTCATGGCATTTTAGTACCCCCCCCCCCGAGCCACCTGGTCCACCCTCTGCCGTCCGCTATTTAGTGCTCTTGTTGATGTACTGCACAAACATGTTGGAGATGTGGCCGATGTTTTCTGTCGGATGCATCTTGGTGTAGGAGATGAACTGACGTCGTAGCCGCCTCAACTCGGCCATGTTGACGCTGCTTCCCATCTCCATGTCTCACACGCGGGTCAAGGACGAGTCACACACCGTACCTATCCGGGCACATGTCCTGACATCAAACGTATAACTATGAAAAATACGGATAGGTTTTACTCTTTCTGGCAATAAAATAGGTGTTAAGATTCTAGATTTGAGGCTTTCGTGACTGCAAGGATCCATACTCTTTGGTTCTATTCGGTAAAGTCACGTAGGTAAAAAATAAAACAAAAATCACGACGTATCGGCCACAACACAAGTAGCCTTCATCAGGTGAAGGGACCGGACTGTCCAGAGGACAGCGTTGGAGTAAAATTCTCGGCAATGACTAACAACACTCCAACGCTGTCCTCTGGACAGTCCGGTCCCTTCACCTGATGAAGCCCACTTGTGTTGTGGCCGAAACGTCGTGATTTTTGTTGTTTTATTTTTTACCTACGTGACTTTACCGAATAGAACCAAAGAGTATGGGTGTTAAGATGTTCAAACATAAAATACCTTTTGTAAGGAATCAAGTCTGCATTAACCAGACGTACTTGTGGTGAACATGCAAACAAACATCTGACAATAAAATGCATTGTATTTGAAACTAATTGGCCTACACCAGAGACTGCCTTCTTTGTGGCCTCGTCTCCCCAGTGTTAGACGAGCGAACGCCAAATCGTATAACTAACTAAAAGGTAGTTATACGTCTACGCCTCTATATAAGGAACGACACAGGTGGATTTATCCACAAATCTGGCTGTCGTCTGATGAAGCTAGTAATTACTGGCGAAACGTCGTACTCGGATTGTAAATGTTGCGGCTTGGCTCTCCAACACACCGGTGTGCTGTACGAGTGACGAATTGGCATGTTCTGTTTATGTGACAACCCTTACTAGTTGGCTGTGTTGGGTGGTGGCAGGTTTTAACAAAAAATTGATATATTTATGCAATCTAACCCAAAAAAACCCCTCTATTATGGATGATATTGGTCACGAAAGTCTACGTGTTAAACTACCTGAAAGGTTATAATGCACGTGGAAATTTAATAGGAAAACACCACAGCACGAATCTGGCTTTTAGCAATTTGAAATTGACATTTGTGGAGCGGTAGTACGGTGATAAGCGTACTGTGCTATGAACCTGGCAACACAAGTTAAATTCTTGGCAATGACTAACATCATTAGCAAGTGATATCTCAGCTGAACCTGGGCCTAACCGCACTGACCAGCATGGTGAAGTATGGTCAAACAACCTGCATGACCAACATCGTGTAGACAGGCCTTCATGCAGCAGTGGTTTCACAAAAGGCTGTAAATTATTATTTTACATTTGAAGGATATTTTGTCTTTGGCTCCTGGGATGGTGATGAGGTCTCCAGGAACGCTGGTCTTCTGAGCATTCAAAACTGCCTAAAATTGTACAACACAAATACCCAAGCATAGGACACGTTGTATTTACAAGCACAGCTAACACAGCTTTCTGTTAATCAAAAAACCAAGATGTAAATATGTACGTGTGAGAGACGTTTTACTTACAGCAACAACTTCTTGTGTTACTTTATCCAGTTCATAAAGAAAGTTGGTCGAGGAAAGTGGTTGCTGTGAAAATGAGAGGTTACATTTGCAAATCAGCAACACAATATAATTGATCATATCTATACTGTCAATTCAAAATTAATGAGACCCAACCATGTAACTCAAAATACAAGTTCAAATACATTTGGTTCGCTTAGCATCGTGGAAACCCAGCAATATCTTACAATGCCTCCTGGTGGCGTATCTGTGCAAATTAACTTCACCAGCAGCCTCACAAAGGGTGCTTCAAACATTTCTTGGCTGTGGGTTCTTTATATTGAGTAGACTGCTACCTTCATTTTAATGCATCGCAGACCACTAGTTCAGCTATATCTAATTGGAATGGCGAGCAGTCATCATGAATGCAAAAGGTTTTGTCTTAATTAAAATGCACATTTCTGATGTGTAATTCTTCCGAGGACTGCACGCTAATACCCCAAGTTCAGCCCATCATACAAGGGCCCTGACGCACGTGTCCCTCGCAAAACAAACTTAACCAAGCAGACATATAAGCGACCGACACCAAATTAACTCGGTTTGATCCGCGTCAAACCCAAGCTGCGTCGAACGCACTGTCACGACGAACAGTTGCTTACGTTGAGCGTCGCCTGGTTTTGCACAGGCGCTTTGCGGTGGAACAAGGCGTCGCACACAGCTTCCAAAGGGAAGGCGTCAAGCGGCTGCACTGTGATGAGTGGCGAGTCCCAGCGGTTCCTCGAGTCTGGCGCCTCGAAGCGCATCACCAGCGCATCGAAGCTGCCCAAAAAAAAAACCACACGGTTAGCGCAGTGAGAAACGACGCAAAGCGCTGAGGCCCGCGATGTGTTTCGATGGCATCAATAATGGTGCGCGATCAGACATGGACGCACGCTGGGCACCTTACACTTCCTGGGTGTATTGTTCTTCTGCGCTCCGCTGCTGGTTCCACTCGGAGCACGTCTGGGCTGCAGTGTCGCAGTGAATCTACGTGGACACACACGCAGCAGCTATATAAGAATCATCAGGCCCCATGGCATGAAGTGCAATATCGAACTCTGATCCACTCTATTTCCGACCCCTTTATTAATCTGCTATGAAGAAGGGCCAGTGCCCAAAACATCGCCGATAATTTTTCTTTTAAGGCAATATTTTTCACCAATTTGTTGAGTTATACATGAGAATAATGGCGTGTGGATGCTAGTACACATTTTTATAACTTTAAAAAAAAATTTGAGTTCCAACCTACAAGGCAGTGTGGCGTTTGGGCGTGCTTGATGATGCAGTAAAGTTCATATCTGCATCCTGTGAATGGAAATAAAGAAGCATTTGTTTAATGTGCACCACAAGCATGATTGTCTTTGGGGCAAACATGTTCATTTGTCGTTAATGTGCATGTACCTTTGATATAGTTGAGCGAATCTACAATCACCACGTCTTCCTTGTTGATTTTTCTGTTCAACGTAACAACAGCAGCGTTAGCACATCGGTGTCTCAAGTGGTGTGCATTATAATGAGGGCCCATTGTCAACCGCCGAAGATATCATAAACCAGAAATGTGATCAGTCGCGGCGATGGAATCAGCCCATATGCAGGAACTCGATGGATTTCGGTGTGCTCCACCGTAATGAGGTCTTCATGCAGAAGTGGCTGTTATATGAAATGACATTACAAGGGGGACGTGGAAAAACTAAAGTTAAATACGTAAATTTAGTTAATGCGGCATGCGACATATTTCTCCCAAGGCCAAGGGAGATTTGTATATTTTAATTCTTTACCTTTCAACTTCAGATTTAAGTGCGCCTCTCATCTCCTTTTCTTTACTTGAATCTGACAAAGACAAATGATGCCCACATTTGGGGAAAAACAACAAGATCAAAGTTGACCAATTCTTTGCAAAGCCCCACGGTGTTCATTCGGGACATGGAGGCTGCAGGCTCGAGTCGTCGCCTTGAGGCCCCTTTACTGTCAAATCGGTGCTCTTCATTGGATCCTCTGTGCGCATCAGAAACCCACTACGACCCCACAACACCCTCACGGTTACCCGACCCTCAACTCTAACGGGGCTGTCACAGTTAACACCTCGGTGACGCCCGCACTTTCACTAATTACGGGGCTCTCCCCCCGCTGGTGTCAATTATCGGCGCCTTATTTACTGTCAATTACCCAGGGGTTTCACTGCAACTAAACCTGACTTCCTTTTAAATTATCCGGACCTTGACGACCGGTTTATCCGGGCCTCCACCGTCAATTCGACAGGGCCTTCAAATGTGAACCACAACCCATCATCACGATCCATGGGCTAGACAGCCCGTAGTCGGTGTCCACTGCACATTTCGTCATATGTTTCCACTTTCCTCTCTGCCTTGTGCCAATATGGCCCAAGTATTGGCCACATCTTACTGTGATGTCGTCAAGCCATTCTGTTAGGTCTTCCTCCCTTTCCACTTCCTTCAATTTTCACGAACAACACACACTTTTAATTGTCCTGGTGTTGTCCATCCTACATATGGGTCCAACCAGTGCTGGTTTCCTTATCAATTAAGCCCTGATTGGCCATCCCGTGCCCTTATAAATCTCAACGTTAATCCATCACAAGAGAGAATGTTTAACACATAGGCTTTAGCGAGCAATATCATCCATGAGAGTTTTTTTAAAAGATAGAAGGAACGAAACAGGTGGATATCTCCACAAATCTGGCTGTCGCCTGATAGAGCTAGTTGTAATAACTGGCGAAACGTCGTACTCGGATTGTAAATGTTGTGGCTTGGCTCTCCAACACACCGGTGGTGCTGTACTAGTATACTACACTATTGAACACTATACACTACACTATACACTTGTGCTGTACTAGTGACGAATTGGCCACGTTCTGTTTACGTGACAACCCTCACTAGTTGGCTGTGTCGGGTGGTGGCGGGTTTAACGACACATTAATACATTTACGCGACCCAACCCAACAATAACACCGACATTACGTTAGACAATGTTGTCGTCGTCGCCCAGATTGAATACGTCTCTACCGGCCGCCGCACCGATCCCGAAATACTCAAAATTCCCACCCCCTGCACAAGAACGCGGGGAACTGCGAACATCCACCCCCACCCCCCCACCTCGGGGCCTTCCCGGTGCCTGCCCCGGCTTCTCGTGGTCCCTCACCCCCGTAGACGAGGTCCCTGCCGCCCGAGACCTCGCTCGAAGCGTCCGGCACCACCGACACGCGAGGGCCTCCTAGGCCGGAGGCGCCCGCGCGCAGCAGCAGCAGCGCCGACTCCAGCTGCAGGGCCCTCCGCGTCTTCCCGCTGCACGGGAGGCCGCACATCACCACCAGCGGCATTGGCTCCGCCGACCGACTTTTACCGGGGACTAAATCGATGGACTCGGACCCTCCAAAACCCTCTCGCCGCTGCCAAAGAGCTCGTTAATCGCCGCCTCAAGCTTCGCTTCGCCGATTTGTTGTGGTTGGCGGTACTCGCGCGCGGATCGATCCCTGTGAGCTGATACACGCGCGGATCGATCCCTGTGAGCTGTGATACACGCACGGATCGATCCCTGTGAGCTGTGATACACGCACGGATCGATTCATATGAGCCGCGATACACGCGCGGATCGATCCCTGTGTGCTGCGATACACACGTGGAGCGATTCACGTGCGGATCGATTCGTAAAAGTGCGTGGAAGTAGTTAATCGTCTTGTTTAAAAAATGTATTGTTATTCTTTGGGTCTTACGGTAAAGTCACGTAGATAGGTTCAGATAAAATAACAAAAAAACTACGACGTTTCGATCGCAACACAAGCGGTCGTCATCAGGAAAAGTGAGGTTATCCTCCAAAGGCAAACTGTTTATAAAGGTTTGAAATGGGCGTAGCCCGTGTCGTCAGCATGGGCGGGGCAGTAAATGTTAATGTAGTGGTACTCATACAGTAAATGTTAATGTGGTGGTGGTAGTCATACAGTAAATGTTAATGTGGTGGTGGTACTCCTACAGGGCAACGACGGCACTGGTGGTGAGCATCCACCAATTCAGGGCTACTGCTCGTGGTGATGGTAGCAGTGGGCAGTGATATTCCCGGTGGTGGGCTTCTACCAATGCAGGGCTACTGCTAGTCTACTGCTCGTGGTGATGGTAGTAGTGGGTAGTAATGGTCCCGGTGGTGGGCTTCCACCAATGACTTAAACTGGTTGATAACGTCCTTCCAATGATTGCTGAGTTTGTACCCATCTTTTCTACAAACTAAGCAGTGTCTGCGGCAGCAGTTACATTGGGGAAACTAAGTGGCATGTCTCGGACCGTGTTCGTGAACATAAGGCAGATCTGAAACACGGTAGGACCAATACCTCGGTCGTGGCTGATCATTGCTTTAATGCGGTGGGCTCACGAAATTTATTTCTCGAAGACGAAGGCACTTCGCAAACCCACTGGCTATCAGATTCGTTAATAAAGCCATCCATATATACACAATTTCAACCGAGATGGGTACAAACTCAGCAATCACTGGAAGGATGTTATCAACCAGTTTGTCATAACTGGCTACGTTTCCATTTTAGACCTGGCAGCCCTTTAATTTGTGGAAACCCACCACCAGCGCCGTCGTTGCCCTGTACGAGTACCATCACCTACATTCACATTAGCTGCCCCGCTCATGCTGATGACACTTGGGCTACGCCAATTTTAAACCTTTATAAACCGTTTGCCTTACACTAGTCAGCCCTCTAGTGGCTGAGCTGGACAAATGTTCCACATTTGACAATAAACAGCCTTCGATGTGGTTACAGGGACTCCTCTACAAAAAGCCATTCGACTTATGAACTTTCGGAGATACAAGCAAATCTGTCCGTATGTCCAGTTGCCGGTTCAAACAGAGTCGTAGGTTTAACCGCCGCGCAATAGATGTCAGTGGTGGCATCTACATATGCAGAACATGAAGAACCAGTGGCATCTACATCGTATACGTTTAGTGTCCATGCTGTACAGCATGTTTGGAATCGACAGAAGTTGGGACTTACGAACAGACCTCTGGAACCTATATCGTTCGTAAGTAATCTCTGTATAATACGTTACTGTAAGAATAGCATTCTATCGCACATATGGTTAGCGAATCTCGCACGAGATGGAGTTAGATTTCTATGCACTACATCCCTGCACAAGAGGTGAATGGACTTGGTGCTTCGGTGATGTGCATTAACAACTTGAATTCCGATTTCCTTGAATGTGTTTGCCACACATGTCTGCAATGTTATGATTTACCAACTTATTTTTTTAACTGAAAACAAAAACGACTTTCATTTTAGACCGAGGCAACTTGAACAATCTAAAAAGTGGGTTCGGAAGGTTACCTATTTACCATTGGAAATCCATCAAGTGTTTTATTATCACCTGGCCACATCATGCAAGAGGACATGGAAAACAAATGAACTTGATAAATAACTTTACGACCATGTTGAATAAAATTATGGTAATTTACATAACACTGAACAATCTAGTTCGAACTCTTTTATTCAGTTATAACACTCTGGGATCAATGCTTGCCACGCTTCATATTTACTTTAGATTAGAACGTATATTACCTAGAAACTTTTTGATTTTAAAAACATTGTCCAAATCAGACAGTTCATATGGACGTAACCTGGTCAATTTAAATTCCTATTTGAAAGAAAGCCCCAATGACAGTTTAACAGAATAATGTGACCATTCAAGCAAGAACATGGTGTAATGGTTAACGTAATGTCTCCCATTAGAACATAGAATAAAGTAAAACCATGTATAATTCAGCAAACGTACTCGAGAAAACTACACACAATTCTGCAACGAGACATTCAAAACTGGAAATATATGAACAAAAAAGTTAATATCCCTTTTGCGATAATTTTTATTTTCTTGCATTTTTTTTTGCTGAGGATCGTGCAATTGAGGCAGGCAGCAAATGTCGTTTGCCCTCTTGCTACGGCGGCGGTTGGGTGGCATTTCTGCAAGGGGGGGGGGGGGGTGGCTGCACGCGCAAACTCTAGAAATCCTCCTCGGCGGTCTTGCAGCGCATGTCCCTGAGTGTGGCGAGCCGGGCGATGGTGTCTTCCACGCTGCGCTCCCCGTGCACCTTGTTGTCGCGCGTGCGCACGTTCACAGTGTCGCTAAGCTTCTCCTTCTCGCCGACGACTAGTAAGGGAGGAAAAGAAACCACCCGACCATTAGCGTTCTCCGTATCGGGCACGTATCATGTATTTTCGTGTTGAAGCAAAAAAGAAAACCCAGTAATGTGATTTTGTGACTGAGATACAGGCAGGCTGGCCCTAGAAAGAGGAGGTGGTTTCCAAGTGGCGAGCCAGGATGTGAAGGACTGCGGAGCGGAGCCATGCGCGGAGAAAAATAACTAAACCACCATGTCCCAAAGTGAAGTGGGGAAAATATCACGAATAAAACTCTCATATACTTTACATTTGCATAATTCTGGACGATTAAAATCAGTAATGACGCAGTGGGTCAACACAATTGCAGTTTCCCCCGGCGACCTGAATTCAACTGCCAGGCACGGCTAACACGAGTGATATTTTACAACCGATTCTGTCCCACCCCTTCACTAACCCGCACTGACCAGCATGGCGAAGTACAGTTGACAACCGACACAAATGAAAAGGTGTAGGAAGGGAGGCCTTCAACCCAGCAGTAGATTGAAACAAGGGTGGCAAAGGATTCACGTATTCAACTCTACGGTGCAAAAAATGTAAGCATGGCGTACATGGATACATTTGCGACTCACCAAGGATGAAGTTGTATTGAGCCAACTGAGCGTTGCGGATCTTTTTGTTGAGGGTCAGGCCTGGGTCCAACTCCGTGTTTACCATGAAACCCACGTCGTGGAATCGCTGCCAAACCTACAAGGCAGAGGAGCAAGGCAATGTTCAAGCGAATGCTCCTGCAACTTTTGCCCAAAAACAACTCAATAACAGACGGTGCTAAATACCCACCTCCCACAATGTCCCCCTCCCCCCTCTCTCCCTTTGACGCGATTCGGTGCTGCGATTCACGTGCTGCCAAAACGAACGTTAAATAGCATGCGCACATGTTCATGCGAAGTGATGTCACACCTTCTGAGCAAAGTCATTGCAAGTTGGTCCCACGGGCACCACCATCACCTGCTGAGGAGACAACCACAATGGCCTGGTGGGGAGGAGAGAAAAGACGACGTTTAATCGGACACAGAGCACAAACGAATAGCTCGGGGGCCCATCTGTAAATGGAAGGAGTGGCGCCCTGCACGGCGGACTCACCATTTGCCTCCGTAGTTCTCCGTCAGGATGGCAATCATGCGCTCCACCGAGCCGAGGATGGCCCTGTGGATGATCACGGGACGCTTCCTCTCGTCTCCTTCCCCGCTGAGGGTGGAAATGGCGAGAGACGTCACGAGCTATTACAGTTAAAACCCTTACGGGGTGGGGGATAAGTGGATATGGTGAAATGTTAAGGGAGGAGAGCCAAGGGGTGAACACAACACGTACGTCACGAAATTCAGGTCGAAGCGGATGGGAAGCTGGAAGTCGAGCTGGATTGTGGCACACTGATGGTAGCGGCCAATGCCATCCTTGATCTGAATGTCAATCTGTCAGATGGGAAGGCCATCAATGTTACAGGATTATTACGAAAAACATAATCGCATAGAAGGCAATTACATATGAAAATATTTTAGAAAAGTCAATGCAATCATGAAACGCAGTCTGATATATTTACCTTTGGTCCATAGAATGCCCCATCGCCAGGATTCAGCTTCCACGGTTCTCCAAACTTGTTCAGACTGTTTTCCAGTTGCTGGAAGAAAAGTTGCCATCATTCGATTCAAAATTACACGACAGGCATAGGGGGGAGGGACGACAATAGCATTTCAACAACAGTTCGGGAGTGTGTATGGCACCCATAAATCACCATCATATTCCCCCCCCCCCTCACCTTCTCCGCTTGATTCCACTCCTCGACATCGCCCATGTAATTTTTAGGGCGGGTGGACAGGAACAGCTTGAAGTTGAAGCCAAACACCTCGTACACACAACGCAAAAAGTCCAGGCACCCTGCAATCTCGCTCTCAATCTGAATTGACAATGCACAAAACAATAGAAGTCACATTGATAAATACACACCGCATCATACTCTCCCACTGGGACTCCACTCTTTTTAAATAAAAAAAATGTGGAGACTGACGAGACAGGCCTCGAAAGCAGTGGTTGGAAGTGGTGATCCAGGCAAGGTACGAATGGACTGCATCGTTGATGTGGAGGTAGCGCAGCACATGCCATTGGTAAACGAGGACCAGGAAGGCACACCCCTACACGAGTGGGAGAAATGCACGCACCTGCTCCATGGTGCAGAAGATGTGGGCGTCATCTTGCTGGAACCTGCGTACGCGCGTCAGGCCCGTGAGTGCTCCCGAGAGCTCGTTCCGGTGGAGCACCCCGAAGTCGGCAAAGCGGATTGGCAGCTCTCGCCATGACCGCGGCCGGTGGTCGAACATCAGGCTGCGGAAATCGCAATGGAATCGTTGTAGGTCCTAGTCAACGTCCTCTGAACGGTTCTGAATATGGAACAGTGGCACCATCTCAAAACGCACTGGAAAGCGATATCTGCACTCGCACTGAAAAATCTGTGAAGCTGTCGACATGAGTTCGCAACTCTGTAACGTATCAGCATGGTGA